AGGTTCACAGAACTCACAGAGGGAAGTAAATTAGAATGGAACAGGAATAGTCGCGTAGAATTCAAGCGGTACGCCAAACGTGGGGAATGCAAATAACTAATGGAATACCTCCGACTGGCAGAAGAATTCGAGGCACTCCAAGCTGAAGAACCAAAAGAAAGACAAGAAAACATAGCACCACAAAGAACACAATACCAGACAAGAGACTACTGGAGACCGCAACAACCAATCCAGTCACTAAACAGAGGAATAGTAGAAACTTTCGACATGAGGAATAAATGCTCAAGATGCAAAATGGTGGGACACTCAGCACGGGGATGTAACAACCCACCAAGGCTGTTCTGCTGGGTTTGTGAACAGGATGGAAATCGGACAATACACTGCTGCCGCAGACAGGAAAACTCGGGAAACGAGAGAGGCCGATGGGAGCAGAGCGGGTACCCAGGGCCCAGACGACCGACAGGCAACCCGCAACAACGATAGAGTAGGCGATAGAGTAGGCACCAGGAGAGTAGAAGGTATGATAGACACCAGAGCCACGAGAAGTTTTATAGGCAGAGAACTCGCAAACGAAATAGCAACACTCGGAACACGAAAACGAGTAACTGAAGCTATAAGACTAGCAGACGGAACAAACAGAAACGTAACAGAAGCGCTAGAAGTACCGATCCAACTAGGAACCCTATCCGAAACAGTCATACTATTAATCCTCGACGAAGTTATGGGAAACCTGCTCCTGGGAGTCGACTTCTTACAACAATGCAAAGCTACCATTCAATGTGGAGGTATTACAGCACACATCGGAACAAAAAAGGAGAAACAAGGAAAAAAGAAACCAACAAAAGACAGTACACAGGGTATAGGGTCCCTCACAACGGACGATCTCACAGAAGAGACGATCCAAGAAATTCTCAAAAAAGAACTACATTTAATGGAACAAGTCAAGGGAGTCAGTCACATAGCAAAACACAGAATCTTCATGAAACACGATAGGCCCATTAAACAGAGATACTACCCTCGAAACCCAGCAATGCAGTCCATCATCAACCAGCAAGTAGACGAACTTCTAGCACAAGACCTCATCGAACCATCCCACTCTGCATACAGCTCCCCAGTAGTAATAGTGGAGAAGAAAAACAAGCAATGGCGATTGTGCGTCGACTACAGACAGCTTAACGAACACTCAGAACGAGACGCATACCCGGTACCACGGATGGATCACATCCTGAATCAACTCCGAGAAGCAAAATATATAAGTACATTAGACTTAAAGAGCAGATATTGGCAAATACCTATGGAAGAAAGCAGCAGACAGTGCACGGCGTTCACAGTCCCAGAACGAGGACTGTTCCAATGGAAGGTAATGCCATTCGGGCTACATAAAGCACCAGCCACATTTCAAAGAGCATTAGATTCAGTTATCGGACCGGAAATGGAACCATTTGCATTCGCATACCTGGACGATATCGTAGTGATAGGAAGAACAAAACAGGAACATATGGAAAAACTACAGGAGGTAATGAGACGAATCAGAAAAGCAAACCTACGAATCAATAACGAGAAATGACATTTTTTAAGGAAGAACTAAAATATCTAGGCCACATAGTCAGCGCAAGAGGGATACACACAGACCCAGAAAAAATTTCCGCAATCCAAAAAATGCCAAGTCCGAAAACAACAAAACAAGTACACAGCTTCCTGGGAATAGCCTCGTGGTACAGACGGTTCGTACCAAACTTTACCGAGCTAGCAAAACCTCTATACAACCTACTCAAGAAAGGGAAAAATTCAAATGGAACACAGAACATGAAGCAGCAGCACAAGCCCTAAAACGCGCGCTAACAGAGGCACCAGTCCTAAGCTGTCCAGACTTCACAAAAACGTTCATCCTACAGACCGACGCCAGTGATTACGGGCTAGGAGCAGTCCTAACACAGGAAGGCGAAAACGGCGAACAAGTGATCGCATACGCTAGCAGAAGATTAACCAAAACGGAAGCAAAATACTCAGCCACCGAAAAAGAGTGCTTGGCAATCCACTGGGGAATCCAAAAAATGAGAATGTACCTAGAAGGATACCACTTCGTGGTCATAACAGATCACCAAGCACTTAAATGGTTGAACTCAATTGAGAGCCCGTCAGATCGAATAGCTAGATGGGCATTGACAATGCAGCCATACTCATTTGAGATTCGCAACCGCAAGGGAAAACTAAACGTAGTGGCAGACGCACTATCCAGAATGCTGGAGGAAGAAGTTCGGGGAGCAGAAATGGAGGAAGACAACTGGATAAAACAAAAACGAGATAGCAAAGGCACCATGGGAGACACTATGCGTAGACTTTGTAGGCCCATTACCAAGATCGAGCCACGGCCACAACATGTTACTGGTCTACTTCGACAAATTTTCTAAGTGGGTAGGCGGCCATAAGAAAGGAAAGCGTGATCAAGACGCTTAGGGAACAGATCTTGAACCGATATGGAGCACCAAAGAAATTGATATCAGACAATGGGGTTCAGTTCACAAGCAGAAAATTAAAATCCCAGCTAGAAAGATGGGGGATAACGCACCAACTGAAAGTGCCATACACACCTCAGGAGCACCCAGCGGAAAGACCAAACAGGACTATTAAAACAATGTTGGCACAACTCACGGGCGCGGAACACAAAAGATGGGACGATTTGGTACCAGAAATAATGCTAGCCATAAACAGCAGCCGATCGGAATCAACGCGGTATAGCCCAGCGTACCTTCTATATGGAAGAGAAATACGACTACCAGGCAGTCTGTTTAACGAAACCACATCAGGATCAGGCATAGTAAAAGAAACAAGAGAGGACCGATGGAAAAGAATGAAAGAGACAGGGGAGCTAGCGCGAGAAAACATGGGAAAGGGTGCATGTGACCAGGCAAGAGCCTACAACTTACGAAAAAGAGACCGGAAACCCAAGATCGGAGACCTCTTGTGGGAACGACAACACCCATTATCCAAACCAGCCGCAGGGTTTGCGGCCAAACTAGCGCCAAAATACGAAGGACCATTTAAGGTTAATGGTTTCATATCCACAGTAATAGCAAACCTAAATCATAATACTACCGGAAAAAGACATAGGGCTTACGTTAGCGAACTTAAACCATATAAAGGGAACGCCGTAGTTAGCAACGTAGTCACAAACGTAGTTAGTCATAAAAAGAAAAAAGAGATCAGAAATAAACAAATCTCCAAAAAATTACAGATGGAGAATAAATTTAAAAATTCAGCGGCAAAATACCGTGCTTCATTGGAAAAGCAGGAGTCCAACCGCAGACGGGTGGCTTTCGGCCATAGAAGCAATAGGGCCCGAGATCAGGACCCGAACCCGAGCGGCACCAGTGGCCAGGCAGGCACCTCCGCGACAAACGACGACGACCACGGCACAGAACCAGGACCCACGCATCAACAACCAAAACAACCAATGAATAGGACAGCGGAACAAGGAACAAGGACTACGGAAACAACCCACCATCAACACCAAACCACAAGGAAACGACACCCCGAACGAGGCACGACCCACCGAAACTCCACGACAGACCCCAGCGACTTCCACCGGAACAAAGAGACACCAACTAATCGACAAACAAAAACCCCAGATCCCATGGAGAACACCAAGAAGACTTTCGGCTATACAACGAGAAACAACAAAAAAAGGATGACGACACGGAGAGCGATTGGGACGACGAACCGAAAAAGAAAGACCCGGAAAACGAGGCAAAGGTCGCAGATATGGTGGCATACCTCAAGGCAGCCTGGCGACCCGGAACCCGAGGGACCCACAAGGTTGTTTCCGGCGAGCTCTTCACCCGGATCCGCATAGGGCGAGCGGGACACATCAGGGTCAACACAACCCAGATCCTGGTCTCCAAAGAGGGGGGAGTGTGACGGCTCGCCGCAGCAATAAAATAATAAAAAAAATAAATAAACCAAACCAAACACAATAAAAAGCTCTTATTTCAAAATGCGCGGGCAATCGATAACTGTTTACGCAGCCCTAGACAAGCTATCGATAACTATATATGCAACCCTGATAAAACGATAGATATCGAAAACTGTTTACGCAGCCCTGGTCTATCGATAACGATCGACGACTATCGGTAATCGTGGGATAATCCCACCAGCTATCTAGGCACACTAATTACCATCTGGGGCCTATATAAGCAGTGCCACGTCCTCATTCCAGTCACGTGTGCTCAGGCGTTTGATCGAGCAGCATCAAAAGGGGTAAGTGTTCTGTTCTCTATTTCTGGTGGTGGTTTTCCGCAGAGTACGGATCTTTATTTGGCTCGCGACCTAGGAAGGATCACCTACGCCCGGTCTGGTTAGTAATAATCAACCTTTGGCCAGGTCAAGATCTCTGAGTCCGGTGTGATTTATCAGTCAGCCCAGCTCAGAGAGTTCCTCCTAGAAGTCACGCCCCGGCTTCCGACCCGGGAGCGAAGCGGAGTAGCATTGGACTCCTGCTGCATGACCCTACCTAAGTAGAGCGTTCCCCTGACGGACGAACAGAACACGACGCGACAGCGGAATCCCGAGCCGATCGACAGCACTCCCAACCGGCTCTTCAGCCGCAGCGACCGATGCAGCCTCCCAGCCGTAGGAACGAAACCGGCTCTTCAGCCGCACGGAGTACCCGGCTTTTCAGCCGCAACGGATATCAACGTGTCCCCCGGCCCTCCAGCAGCGCCGGACACTGACGCGACCCCGGCCCTACCCGACCATTATCAATACCCCTGTAATATTAGGTAAGCCTAAGAGAAAATATACGAACCGCATTACCCCCTCGAGTTATTCTGGGAAAGTTGAAGGTAAACCGATCTTGAAGAGGGGCCAAACTAGATAGGAAATTCTGTCTCGAACCCTTGCCATCGGCGAGCTATACCGCCTCCCGGAACAGGGTCGTCACAGTAATTGGTATTTACTTGCTTAAGAGCTGTGCCTTAAAGCCAGTACGTAAAATAACTTACCTGATTTTTGTGGTCATCGACCATGCTGGTGTAAGCTGCTTCAGCTAAAGCAAACACATGAGGCGACAAATCCCCTAATCTGCGCTTATGATATTCGGAAACTTCTTCCTGGAAAACAAAAAACATTTTTATAGCTCATATATAGCACATGCAAACGATAAGAAACTTAGATTAGTAAGCCGCCGTTTTTATACCCTTGCAGAGCAAAGTCCGTCTGTCTGTCTGTCTGTTTCTATGTAAACTAGTCTCTTAGTTTTGAAGCTATCGTGCTGAAACTTTCCGAAAAGTTGTATAGTTATTGCATATAAGTCAGAACGAGCCAGATCGGCCGACTATATCGGATAGCTCCCATACGAGAGATTAAAAAAAAAACTCTCCTTCCGTTGTTTTTGATCGGATCGACTTGATTTCTTCCAGATGGAGTTTTTTAACCACTATCGAATTTCGCATTTAATTTTATCAAAATCGGATAATTCTATCATATAGCTGCCATAGGAAATATCGAAAATTATATATAGAAATAATGGCAAAAAAATTTTAACGTCATTCTTTTTTTATTTCACGAGCATGATTTTTACAACAATGGTAAAAAGAAAAATCATTAAAATCGGACAACTATATCATATAGCTGCCATAGTTACGATCGAAAAATCTATATAGAAACTAGCTGACCCGGCAGACGTTGTTTTGCCACCAGATCACTTTATAATTTCTGTACAAAATTTACTCAGTTCTAGACTGTATTATAAAGTCATCTGGAGCGCTGTGAACCATGAGGGAATATAAAAATAACAAAAGGCAAATATTATTTTTAAGTTATTATAATTGCGCCTGGAATAAAATGAATAAAGGGTATTATAATCACAACGTGCATTCACGCGATTGGCAAGTGCGCTTCCGGAATCCTCGCCGTCCATAAAGTAGATTTGTAAGAATTTCAGGCAGGCTCCGTTTTTCACTTTTTTTTCTCGTTTTCGTTTTTGGGCGAAAACGTACGTTTTCGTTTTAGGTGCTCCGGTTTTCACAAACTTTTTGTCATCGTTTCGTTATCGGAATTGTTCAAACAGCTGACTTTTTTTGGTCAAAAGTAAACAACGCGAAAAAATTACTTTTATATTTTCAATTGCCTGTTTTGAAGCCAAAAGAAGGCAGAAATTGATTTATTTAAGAAAATCGAGACATCTTAGATGCAACACATGTGTTTTTAAAATGTCTGACGATCGGTAAATTAAGTTGTCTTACTTACATTTTCAAAAATTTCAAATAAGCCTCCATCAGAAATCAGCTGTTTCCCACAATAAGGGGCTGCCACCTTTTTTGCAGCTTTCATTCCACTATTCTCAACCACTTTTTTACTGCACTTTTGGCATTTAAGAAACTAAATTAATCATATTTATTTATAAGAAGCTTATTTAACTATTCTTTACAAATATTTTTTTCTTCGTTTTCAATTTATAAGTATTTTTAAGTGGTTGTTTCGTTCCACTACAAATACGGCAGCATTGACGATAACTTTGGCAATAGATTTATCGAGCCTTTAGCAAAACGAAATTTGTTGTTGCCGACGGCAAATATTTTATGGATGAAATCAAGGTGGGGTCAGAAAATAATTATTTAAAAAATAAATACGAATTAGATTGACCTACTGATGATGTGAAATGAACATCAATAGACCAAGGAGTCAACTATTTTTTTCCTTTTGTAATTAAGAACCATTTTGATGTAGAAAAAGGCATTTACTTTTCATTTCGACAAAAAAAACTTGCCCGTTTTTGAAAACGAAAAAATCTTGTGAAAATGAAAACCGGAGCACCAATTTTCGTTTTTGAAAACGAAAACGAGAGAATCTTGTGAAAGTGAAAACCGGAGCCTGCCTGTTTATGTGGTTCGTTTGGCATTGGCAGCAGTGAGCCCATTTTATGATAAACTTGGCCTCTAATTTTGAATGTAGAATTGTAATTTGACCATTTTCATTAATATTTCGAACTATTTCTGTTGCTCCGAACGATGTCATTTGAAAGCATTAATTAAATGTTCGAATTGACTTCAGGAACACGTTAGAATTTGGATCCGTGCCGATAAGTAAGCCGTTAAATGGTTCAATTATTCAAAAAATTTCATCAAAATCGGCCCAGCCGTTTAGGAGGAGTTCAATAACTAACACACGTACAGAAGATTTCCCGTCACACAGGAACGCTGTCGAAATATTACATAAAACGAAGCCATTACCAAAACCCCAAAAACTTGACTTCACTTCAATACACCAAACTCACAAAAATTGAGTTAAAATGCTATGTTAGCATGTGTTTGTCAGTGTGATGAGGTAGTAACTCAGTTTATATGCGATTTTTGGTATGTCGAGTAGGACTTAAGGGGTTATATACCTTTTTGAGCGAAAAAAATGAGGGAACTTTGGATTTTTTTTCAGGTGTGTAGCAATTATTTTATGATACTGAGATTATTATTTATTGATGGTACATGTTTTTATAGACACAACAAACGTTTGTTCTTAAAAAATATAAATAACTTTCGAAGTTATGGCAATTCTCTCATAACCCTTTTTTTGTTATAGCGGCTTGCGGTGACCACGATGGAAGTCCAGCGGGTCAACTAAAATCAATAAACCAAAAAATTTTTATTAGTTTAGTATTATTTCTAGTTCGTCATTGAATTACTTCAAGAATATTTGGTTTTTTCTGCATACAGTAACAGTTTTTTCAAAAAATTGATTTTTCGAGCTCTAAAAATTTTATTAAAAATTTCTTATCTGCAAAATCGAAATTGCCGCATAAAAACTGATTCAATGACCGACTCGGCACAATCAATACGAATATTTAAAAAAAAAAATTGAAGAAGATCGATCAAATAGTTCTTGTGCAATCGCGGTCACAGCAAAGGTACTTTTGGAAAAAAACGACTTTGAGATAATCGCATTCAAAGTTTTACGTTGCGTTACAAAGAGTGACGAACCGCGCCTCAAAACGCTGTTTTCCTATCGAACTATTATTCGGATCTCTTCAAAATTTTGGGAAAATGTTCTCTAGGGGATATACTTTAGGATTCAGCTAAAAAAAAATTTTCGTTTTTTTGAAAAAAAAAAGGTATATAACCCCTTAAGAGGATGAAAAACAGATGTTGGCCGATTCTCAGACCTACTCGGTATAGCCGTTTCGGAGGGGTATGGTAAGGGGCCGACCATAAACCTCGTGACGCTAATTTTTGGCTTTTTTGACCCCCTCCCCCTATGTGTCGAATCACATATACAAATTACAACCTCCTTACAACAAAGCGTGACTCACTGATGAAAACCCCCACCCCCCCTAGGAGCGTTACGAGGGTTATGGCCGGCCCCTAACAAAAACTCCCTGCAGTTCTGGCTGTCCACTGATGACTCGTGATGACTCTCTTTCTTTCTCACTTTTATAATACGAATCGTTGCTTGCATCCGACGGCGGCCCGACTCCAAATTTGTCTTCGTTTTTCTTATTGCACTGTTGTCATTCTCCGTTAAAAACAAAAATTTGGGTTTCGATGGAAAATACGGCTGAGAGGCGCTTATGTATACTCTTTTGATGTTAAAGTTCTTCATATAATAATATTAGATATCTCTCCGGAGAGACTTAAATGGGCAATTGGGACCTTCCAACCATTTAAGTCACCTGGTCTGGATGGTATCTCTCCATCATTCCTGCAGCAGGGACTGGATCTACTCCTAACCCGCTTAAGGAGACTGATGCTAAGCAGCCTAGCAATTGGACACATCCCAAATGCGTGGCGTAGAGCTAGGGTGGTCTTTATCCCCAAAGCAGGGAAGAAAGGCATCACCAACCCAAAGTCCTTCAGACCTATCAGCTTAACTTCGTTTTGCCTTAAAACGTTGGAAAAGCTGGTAGACTATCATATTAGGAGCACAGTTCTTAAGGACTGTCCGCTGCAACCCACGCAGCACGCATTCAGGGCAGGTCGTTCAACTAACACTGCACTGTACCAACTTTGCACACCCTTGAAGGGGCAGTGGACAACAAAGTAGTTGCAATCTGCGCCTTTCTGGATATAGAGGAAGGCTTTGACAATGCGTCGCATGATGCCGTCTTAGCGGCCCTCGCCAGAAGGAATATAGACGCGACAACAAGAAGGTGGATTGGAGCTTTGTTAAGCTCCAGGCAGGCAATGGCGACCATTGGCAACAGCACAATGACCGTTGCCACAAGCAGAGGATGTCCGCAAGGTGGAGTCTTGTCTCCTTTACTGTGGAGCCTACTAGTAGATGAACTACTAAGGAAACTCGCCGATAGAGGAATACAATGCCAGGGCTATGCCGATGACATAGTAATAGTAGCCAAAGGGAAATTTGAAGAAACGCTTTGCGATATTGTCCAACTCGGACTCAAGATAACGCTAGACTGGTGCAGGGAAGTTGGGCTTAACCTCAACCCCGCAAAGACAGTCATTGTTCCTTTTACAAAGAAGTACAAACTACAGAAAATGAGACAAATCATGCTATTAGGTACTCCCGTAGAAATAAGGCGGGAAGATAAGTACCTCGGAAGTACCTTCGACAGTGGATAAGTGCCTCAGAGCTATCTTCACCTGTCGAAAAATTGCAGGGAAATCTTGGGGGACCTCACCCCAAATCATCAGATTGCTATACCTTATAATTGTGAGGCCAATATTCATATATGGTTCAGTAGCCTGGGGTAAAAGAGCTAGGCTCGTTACCGCACAGAAATAGCTCCGAAGGCATGCATATGTATGACAGGAGCAATGAAAACCTGCCCCACTGCGGCACTAGAAGTTCTCATGGAACTCACTCCGCTACACTGCGTAATAGAGTTACAGCGGAAGGCCACCCAACTAAGAATCACTTCTTGTGGTAATGGCGTGGTAGCGTGGTATACGGACGGGTCTCTAAGACACCAAGGCACTGGCCTTGGAGTAATAGGACCACGAATCAAGTACCATGAATCTTTAGGCCAATGCACCAGCATATTCCAAGCTGAAGTATGCGCCATAGGACGGTGTGCAGAGCTCAATATGAAGCGCGGGTACACAAACAAGGACATTGCGATCCTCTCGGACAGTCGACCGGCAATTACTGCACTCTGTAG